CCCCCGCGCAGGCGCCGAAAAGGGAAATCACCATCATCCACATGATCACGATCATCATCATCACCATCATCACAATCATCGTCATCATCATCATCGTAAAAATTATTCGCACTGTTCTCCCTCGTGGTACTAGACGTACCCCCAGTGAAACAGATCATCGGATCACCAGGGCGTCGCGAAGACCCTCCTCTTTGCACGGCGGTTCTCATTTTTATGGCGGGATGTCGATAGGCCCCCCCCCCCAGGAGGGTGGACCTTCTCGAGCATCCTGTCATAAAAAATAGGACCGCCGTGAAGGGATTTCGCGACCCGCTGCATGCTCCGATTCTCTGCCTCATCGGGGTACGTCCAGTACCACGTTGGATTTCCCTTCTCGGCAACCTGCTTTGCGAGGTGAACCATCATGTGGAACTTAAAGACGCAGCGGCCTCTGCACTCCTTCCATGCCCGCAAGAACTCGGGGCTGGCCGTCTGCAACGAGGAAGGAAAGCGCACTCACGCCCAGCCGCGCTAACGAAACCCAGGCCGACTCGAACCGAGACCGAGCCGAATCCAGCAAGAACGCGGCATACGAAGGACCGAGCCGAATCCAGCAAGAACGCGGCATACGAAGGACCGAGCCGAATCCAGCAATAGCGCGGCATACGAAGGACCGAGCCGAATCCAGCAAGAACGAGGCATACGATGGACCGGGCCGAATCCAGCAATCACGAGGCATACGAGGGACGGGCCACCAGCAATATCCAAGTTGCCATGGGCCACAGTGCAAGTTCCGAGCTCGTGTCTGGAAGGTGCGCACACAGGGCGCGCTCATATTGCGCGCGGCTTTTGGGCCCGCGCAACTGTGCACGGTGGCCAGGTGCGCGCAGGCCTGCATCAGCACCGCTCTGCGCGGACCTAGAAACCCAACGTTTTCGCGACAGAGCTGAGGAAGAAGTGGCACGAGGTGCCGCGACTCGGCGGCCTTCGCCTTGAGGCGCGGGATCTGGCCTTCCTTGGACGGCATGAACATCTTCAGAGTCAGCCCCCCCTATCACGGACTTGGACCCCTTTTTCCTGAGCGCGCCCGTGGCAATGTAGAACGCCCGAATTCTTCGGCGGAGGTGAAGGATGTTGTCATGGTCCTGCTGCGCCTTCCTGCCATTTCTACTCCCGCAGAAATTCATCGTGACCAGTCTGTGGAACACTGCTGCGACGACGTACTGTGCCACGCCCAGGTCGAGGATGTGCACCCCGTCGAGCATGATGGTATCCACCCTTACTCCTTTGACTTGAAAGAGGGCGCAGATCTGATCAAGGCCCTGGCTGTTGGACGCATTGAAGAACTGCAGTTGTGCCGGCGTCTCCACCGACCGAAGTTCGTGAATGTCAGTGCAGTGCTCGTTTTCGATGAGACGATATCCGACGGGCAGGGCGAACTCGGCATTACGCCGCCCTAACACAGTTAATCCTCCAGCTTTGTTGTCCATCTGCAGAGAGGCGGCCAGACGCCTGAGAGCTGCGTCGTCTGGGACAGCAACCGTGCGAAGGGAGCTGTCTACCACGTGCTGGTACCTGAGATTGTCCCGCGAGGCCCATAGATCATCCATCGTTGCTGGAAATTGAAACAGGCTTGCCTTTGGACAGGTGCACGAGAAGCAAGGGTTCCTTGGGTCCTGCCACGTTTTGAATCCATGAGCTCATGTGACCTCTAAGAGGTCCGCTCTGATTTCGCAGAGGGCCCCCCGCTACCCTCTGCGAGGGGGAATCCGCGCTTCAGGGATCTACACTCAGGCAGGGGCTTCCCGTCGTGGTCGAATGCTGGATATGTGCCCTCTGCTAAAGCATTGTAGCTCTAGCGGAGCACCCGCTGGATGAAGCCAAAACTGCAATTTCCTTTGCACCCGCATTTGCAGACGTCCTGCTTCCGAATCGCGCATACAAGGTGCCTCCCAAAAGAAGCTGCCCCTCTTCGCCCACGGAACACCATCGGAGAAGTGACCCAAGGGTGTGGTTTTCGTGGGGGCCTCTTTCACCACCTCGTGACTCTCGAAGTATAGGGGCAGCACGTCGGCGTCGTAGTTCAGTGGGCCCCATACTGCTGGGTTCTCACGCCACGAGTTCGCGAAAATATCGTGCGGCAGATAAAACGGGAAAGTAATATATTGTCTGCTGTCGGTTGCTGTGTCCCAACACGGCATCTGAACGTGGTAGAACTCTTTGCGCGCCGTCTCTAGGCCCAGCGCGCGCCTCAGATGCTCCGACGCGCGCGCGTTCTGACCTGGGTCCAGCGCGAGATCTCCGATCCCAGCGGCCCCAGCCCGAAACGAGTGAAAGGATATCGTTGCCGCGCCCACGGCCGAAAGGGATCCCGCCCAGCACCTGCCCACCAAGTACTTCCGAAGACCAGCGCCCCCATCCCCGCCATCTCCTCCGAAGCCTCCTGACTCGACTCCTGGGCCGCCCCTTAGGGGCAGCAGGCCTGACTCAACTCCTTCGGGGCGAGAACCGCCTCCTGCCACGATTATCGCTGCCCCCGCTCTTCCCGACATGGCAATGACGAGTCCGAGGCGCAGCAAGGTCAGCGGGGAAAAAATACCCATCTTGACAGAAATCGCGCTACGTATCCCGTTCCTGCCCATGTTCAAGGCCAGAAATAAAAACGCCCCTACCCTGGTTTACGAAGCGCTGTGCGCTGAAACTCCCGTGGGCTGACGGGGTAAATCCGGCGTGATGCGCCGCGCCCTGGCGGCTCTCGGCTCTGGGGCTTCCCAGGGGGTTTACAGGCCACGCACTCGTAACCCAGGGTAGGGCCGTTTTTTTTCATCCCTCAACATGCCCCCCTCCCCGCCCTCACATGCGCGACCGCAATGCCTGCCGTGCGCGGATGCACCAGGGGCCGAACAAATGAACGGATCTTCGCTATCATCGTGCTGATCCATCCTGATCCTGATCCTTGCTATCATTATGATCATCCGAATCCTTAGGCTTATCCTCATCCTCGCTATCATTATCTTTGTCTTCATCATCGCTATCATTATCCTTATCTTCTACCTCCTCGCCCTCACTACCCTTAGCCTCATCCCCCCTATCCCTATCCTCATCTCCAACGGCAATCCGAATCTATGACCTATGTAAGCCGAATCCTCTCGATATCGTCTTGCCTTCTCCTCCTCCCCCCCCTCCCCCTCCCTCCCCCCCTCAGGAACTCCCTGGATCAGCCCCCCGTCAAGGGAGAATTCTGGTGCCAGCCAGTTTTCCTCGAACCTCCCGCCGAGGGGCCCCCGTTCTCCAAGTCCACTCCTGCGAGTCCTCACCGCGCGGGCATCTCCGCGCGGGAATCTCCCTTCGCAATGCCGCCACGAGTCCTCACTTCGCAATGCCGCGCAACCATTTCGCTCTCCGCGCGGGCATCTCCGCGCCTGAATGTTCCTCCGCGCCCGTGCACGCTCGCGAGCGCGCGCTTGCACAGGGCAAGATATCTGCACCAATGTCACTCCGCTCGGGCAGCGAACCGTCTAGAATAAACCGCCCCCGTCATCATTATTCTACTTCCTCCTCATCTTCCTCCTGCCACTTCCTCTCCGCATTACCCCCCTTCCTCTACTTTCGTACGTCCGTTCGTGCCGTCGCAATCGCATGTTCCTCTACTGCCGTACCCCCTGTCCCCCCTTGCCTACTCTACCTCTCCTTCCCCCCCCTTGCCACCCGAATTCGGACGGTTTCGATAATCTTCCAGGCCCAACTTGGGCCTCGCAAGGGGATCCCAGGCCCGACGAGGGCCCTGCCCTACTTCAACGCGCCACGAGCCGCGAGTGGCGCACAGGCCCAACTAGGGCCCAGCCTGGGGCCAACGCGCCGCGGGCCACCAGCCTATTGCTTGCTGATTGCCTTCATCGCCGCCTCCATCGACTCCATGATGGGCTTGATGTTGGCCCAGACCCTCTCCGCCTGGGGGGAGGGGCAGGGAAGGGTCAGAGGGTAAGAGTTCCGGGACAGGGCGGGAGGAGACGGGGCGGGTAGTCGGGTCGGGTAGGTAGGGTAAGAGGGTTGAGCACGGTAGGAGTCGGACTAGGAGGGCAGGAGGTCAGGGCATGAGCGCAAGCGGGTATAGGAGGGTAGGGTGGAGAGGGTAGAGTAGCAGAATGTCGACGAGGAGAGGGTGGAGAGGGTAATGGAATATGCGACGAGGAGCGGGGGCGCGGACGACAAAGGAGGGGAAAGAGCATCGATTAAGAGGAAGGCTAGGGCGGATGAGTGGGCTGGGATGCGTGTTCTTAAGAAAGATGGAGATCGAGAGCATCGATGGGGATACGAGGGTGAATATGAGAAGTAGGAGGATGAGGAGGAAGCAGGAGGAGAAGGAGGACGACGAGGGATGATGAGGAGGAGGGGCACGGAGGAGGTACAGGAAGATGAAGGGGAAGGAGGGGGATGGAGGTTTTCAGGTTTCGAGACTGCCACGCAGGCCCTCAAGAAAAACCTCGAAGCTTGTCTTTGCAATTATCTTTCTGACTGGGTCTCCTCACAGGGCGTAAAAGGTGTAAAAGAGTCGGGGAGGAAGGAGGAGGAGGAGGAAGAAGTTGTTGTTCAAGCCGATTTGAAAACAACGCGAGTAGAAGGAGGAGGAGGAGGATAAGGAGGAGGAGGAGGAGGATAGGACGGAGCAAGAGCGAGGAGGAGGGAGGACGACGACGATTCTGCCGAGAATGCCTCCTTGATTGCATCCTTCGCATCGGGGATCACCGTCAACGGGTCGGTCTCCGACCTTGGTCTCCTCGCCCCCTCCTGATCCTCCTCCGCTCATCCTCATCATCATGATCTTCCTCGCCATCATTCCTTTCCCCCTTGTCATCCTCCGCCTTGTCCTTTCCCCCCCGCATCCTCCGCTATCCTCCTCATCCTCCCTTTTCCTCCCAGACGTCTGCCCCCCTTCGCTCCTCCTCCTCATCCTGCCTCTCTTGCCCCTCGCCCCCCCCATCCTCCCTCCTCCGCCTCAGTGGCCACTGAGTGATGGGCGCCCCCTGGATCTGCTCCGTCAGCTGCTGCTTGGTCGTCTCCAGGCCGCTCACCGCGGCGTTGGCCTCCTGCGAGAACGGGCCGAACCACGCGTAGTTCTTGCCCTCGCAAGCGTGGTGGGGGCCCCTTCTCCTCCTCCACCTCCTCCTACTCGTTCTCCTCCTCGTCCTCCTCACCGCTGCAGGTCAAGTCACCGAGGACCACAAATTGCAAATGGCACATACCGTCCGTTGCCGTGTTCAGGAACATCCCCCCCTCCCCCCTCCTCACCCTCCTCTCCATCCTCGTCGTCGCCCCTCCTTCCCTCCCTCCACCCATCCCTTCTCCTTCTGCTCCTGCCATCCTCCTCCTCATCCTTTGTATACTCATCCGCGTCCTCTTAGTCCTCATCGGCCTGCTCATGCTTGCCCCCTCTTACTCCTCTTTCTCAATCCGTGCCCTCCTCTTAGTCACCATCCGCCTCCTCATCCTCGCTCTCCTCTTACCCTCCTCTTACCCCTCCTACCCTCACCATCTGTCTTCTCATCCTCCAACCCTCGGAACACCTGGAGTCCTTTGAGCACCGCCAGCAGCTGGCACGACGTGCCGAGGAGCCCGGGGATCTCCCCGTTCAGCTCCTTCTCGCACTTGTTCATCTCCTCCTTGCCCTTGGCCGCGTCATTCTCGTTCTCCGAGTCAGACTGGGGGCCAAACTCATGTTTCTCCAGGCAGAGGCGGCCGCGGGGCAGTAGGAGGAGACGGAGTAGCATGGAGGGGAAGGCAGCGGCAGTAAGGATAGAAGGGTATCGGCGAGGACGATGAGGAGCAGGCACATCGCTCTTCCCCCTCCCCATCCTTCGATCGTGCCTCTACATACTGGAATACATCACATTGCCCCGTCATCCGACTCCCTTCTCCTCATCGGCATCCCTCCAACATAAAGGCGACCTCCGAGTACGAGCACGGGGAGCACGATGCAGACGGTGACCGCGCTGTCCGCTTACCCCCGCTCGCACGCCCGCTCCGACGGTTCGTAAAAGCCTGGCTCGGGATTGGTACCCATCTTCTCCGTAGCATCTTCCCCCTCCTCCGTTCATTGATCTCATCGTCATCCTCCCTCTCTCTCGATCCCTCGTCGTTGGCATCGTCACTCCCCCTCGTCATCGTCATCCCCCCTATTCCCTCTCGTCCCCGTCACCGTCATCATCCGTCCTTCCCTCCTCTAGCCGCTCGCCCCCCCTTCAGCTGGGCACCGCGGTTGCTCGGCCACGCTCGACATCCGCGAGCGCCACGCGGCCCGTCGAGAAGGTGGTCCCCAGCTCTTTCTCTTTAGTCTGGCAGCGCAATTTAATTGATGCCCATCCTCGCCGTATCCTCATTCTTATCCTCAGTATCCTCATTCTTATCCTCATTATCCTCATCCTTATTCTTATCCTCATCCTCATTCGCATCATCCTGATTACCCGCATTTTAATCCTCAGTATCCGCATTTTAACTGATCATCCTCATTCTTATCCTCATTATCCTCCTCCTTATCCTCATCCACCCCCTCATCCACATGCTCATCCCCCCTTTCTCCGTATCCTCCCCATCATCCATATCGTCACCACCCACCTCCTCCCTATTCTCATCATCGCCCTCTTCCTTATCCTCCTCCTTATCATCATCCTCCCCCTTATCCTTATCCTCATCATTACCCTCCTGCCTAGTCCTGGCTTTCGCACTCCGACCTCTTCAGCCTCTTGTAGACCACTTCCTTGGTCTGGATGTCCTGGCTCACGTGGCCCTTCACGGACTCGCAGCTGTGCTTGATCGCCAGCGCGCGAGCGCAGGATCTCGGGAGATTGGCGACGGGGGCGGGTTTGGCAGATGAGGGTGCGATAGTTCGACGACGGACGAATATAGGCAGCGGGGGAAGAGAAGACGAAGTAGGATGAGGAGCAGGGCCAGGTGGAGGAGGAGGACAAGGGTTGACGAGGACGAGGGACACCCTCACAGAAACTGACCCCGCTCCTTGCCTCTCGCCCGTGGCATCATGTCCTCCTCCTCGCATCTGCATCCCCCTCCTTCTCCTCCTCCCAGCCCTCATTCTCTAATCAAAGAGGGTCCTCTGGCCAAATTCTGCGTTCTTGATCTCCTCGCGCCACCCGCAATCAGTCAGCAGGTCATCGAACGAGCGCCAGTAGCATTTCTTCTCCGTTTCCTCGATCTGTCTCTGCCGCTCGCGCTTCCAGGACTCGCGCCACTCGGAGTTCCCTCGATCGAGGGGGCGTGAAGATCCTCCTCGTTACCTTCATCCTCATCCTCATCCCTAGCTCACCTCCATCCTCATCGGAGGAGGACGACGACGACGACGAAAATATGGAGGAGGACGAGGAGGACGAGGACGCCGAGGAAGATGAATAGAGGGGGGAGGGCAGGAACAGAGGGGGGAGGGGGATGACAAGGAAGTGGAGGATGAGGAGGACGACAAGGAATTCGATCAGCAACCTGTCTTTGTTGATGCTCATCCTCCTTCTTCATCGGATCATCCTCCTTCCTACTCATCCTCATCCCTACTCCTCCTTCTACGCCTACTCCGATATTAATCCTCGCTCTCCCTCGTCGATCATGCGTATCCTCCCTCCCCCTCCTAATCATCCACCCTCGTCCTCATCTGCTCCTGCCGCCCCAAGGCAGCGCCTTCTCCTGTCCAGCGCTTGAGCCAGTTCTTCTTCTCCGCGCGCGAGGCGCGGTGGAACTCGTTCCGAATCTCGACCTTCTCGGCCTTCAGCGCTGTCCTTGCCGAAAGCGGGAGGCGGAAGAAGCGGGGGGGGGATGGGGGGTGGAGGACAGAAGAGGGGAAACCGAGGAGGAGGAGGGGGCAGATCATCAAGGAAGAGCGGGGGGGGAGAGGAGTTGGGGGAGAGCGGGGATCGAGGAGGCGGAGGAGGAAAAAGGAGCAGCATCGGAGTGGAGGGCCCTCAGGCCCCTCCCCGTTCTTGTCGTTTTAGTCCTCGCCCTCGCCCTCGTTATCCGCTAGGCGGACAGGGGCGAAGACGAGAAGGGAGCCACTCGATTCTTCCTCGTCCTCGTCCTCCTCGTTTTCCTCATTTCCCTCGTTTTCCTCTGTGTCCCCTCCTCCTCCTTCCTCCTCCTCCCTCCTCATCCCCCTCCTCCTCCTCCTCCTCCTCCTCCTCCTCCTCCCCCCTCCTCCATCGCCTCCTCATCCTCCTCCTCCTCCTCCTCCTCCTGCCCCCCCCTCCTCCTCCTCCTCCTCCTCCTCCTCCCCCCCCCCCCTCATCATCGCCGCCCTCCTGTCGTCATCCCCCGCCCCCGCCCGTCCAATCCGCAAGCGTTGCATCGCGTTTTCATGGTCCGAGTTCTGCTGCCTCTTGATCCGCGCCGCCTCCTTCTGCGTCTCCGACGTGGCCTTGTTCTGTTTAGCCTTCGGCGCCGCGCCAGCCTCTATCTTCTTGCTGCGGGCCATCACCTGGGCCAAGCCGCCGTCGCTCGAGAAGCCGCCCCCCCGCCCCCCATCGTAGCACGGGCGGGGGTCCACTTGCGACAACATTCGCATCACAACGGTTTAGTCGTTAACACGGGCGTCGCGGTCGTCGACATCGTGTTCGTGGTTCTTGTCGTGGTCGTCGTCGTGTTCATGTTTTTCGCGCGTGGTTTTTGTGGTGCTCCTAGTTGATATTCGTTGCCGTTTTTGCTGCCGCTGGCGGCGCCGTTGCGCGTGGCGCCGTCGTCGTCGACGCCACCGCCGCCGCCGCCGCAGTCGTCGTCGCCGTCGTCGTTGTCGTCGTCGTCGTCGTCGTCGTCGTGGTAGTCGTCGTCGTCGGTGTCGTCATGGTCGTCGCCGTCGTCGTCGTCGCCGCCGTCGTCGTCGTCGTCGTCGTCGTCGGCGTTGTCGTCGTTGACGTCGCCGCCGCCGCCGCCGTCGTCGTAGTCGTCGTCGTCGGTGTCGTCATGGTCGTCGTCGTCGTCGTCGTCGTCGCCGCCGCCGCCGTCGCTGTCGTCGTCTGCGTCGTCGTCGGCGTTGTCGTCGTCGTCGTCGTCGTCGCCTCCGCCGCCGCCGCCGTCGTCGTAGTCGTCGTCGTCGGTGTCGTCATGGTCGTCGTCGTCGTCGCCGCCGCCGCCGCCGTCGTCGTCGTCGTCGTCGTCGTCGTCGTCGCCGTCGCCGTCGTCGTCGTCGGATCGTCGTCCACGTCGGCGTCATTCGTCGCCGTCTCGTGCGTCGTCGTCGTCCGACGCGCGGTGGAGGCGTGCGTCGTCGCCGTTATCGCGGTCATCGTCCGCCCAGATTGCGCCCCCCCCCCCCCCCACCCCTTGGCGCCATTGAGCCTCGGGGCCCTAGGCCCTGGCGCCTGCCAGGGGCCTCGGCCGAGCTATACAACGGGCTATGCGACGTGCGCCCCCCTTCCCCCCCATCATCCCCCCGCCTTCGAATGCTAGGGTCTCCCTCGAGCCCCCCTCCTGCCCCTTCTACGTCTCCCCCGCGATCCTCCGCCTCTCTAGACTGCAGCCCCCCCCCTCCCATTTTTTGTGGTGCGACAATATTCGCAAATCCCCTGCAAAGCGCGCCCTTGTCGCCTGCTGCCACGCGCTCAGCGCGCGCGCGCAGGATGGCCCTACAGGGCGCTCCTGGACGCGGGGGGGGGGGGGGGGGGGGAACGTCGGCGCGCGGGCGGGGCGGGCGGGCGGCGCGCTCGGGAGCGGGCGGAGCGGGGCCGGGCGGGCGCGGGTCGGGCCGCGGGCAGGGCGGGCTGGCGGGCGAGCGCGGAGGCGCAATGGACTTCTTTTACGCACGCACGCAGAGCTACCCAGGGGGCAGGGGGGGCCACGGGGCCTCGGGGCGGTGGGCGCAGCCGAAAACTTCGAAAACATCAGAAAAACGTCATCAACAATACCAACTTTAACAACATTGAACACATTAAAACAACATTAAAACATTATTAAATCATCATGAACAACATCAACAACATCAAACACATTAAAACAGCATTAACACAACATTAACGACACTACCAACATTACCAACATCATCAACATTAAAACAGCATTAAAACGACATTAAGTCAACATTAACGACATCAACAACATGAAACACATTAACAACATCACCAACATTAACAACATCAAACACATCAGAACAACATTAAAACGACATCATATCAACATCACCAGCACTACCAACATTAAAAGCATCATCCACATTATCGACAATATCAACATTAAAACAACATTAAAACGACATTAAACCAACATTAACAACATTATCAACATTATCAGCATTATAACAACATTAAAACGACATTATAGCAGCATTACCAACATTACCAACATTAAAACATCATTAAACCAACATTAAAACAATAGTAACAACATAAACAACATGAAACACAGTAAAACAACATTAACTCAACATCAAAACAACATGAACAACATCAACAACATTATCAACATTATCAACATTAAAACAACATTAAAACGACAGTGGAACAACATTACCAACATTATCAACATTAACAACAATAAAACAACATTAAAACAACATGGACGACATTACCAACATTAGAACAACATTAAAACAACATTAAAGCAACATGAACAACATGATCAACGTTATCAACATTACCAACATTAAACGCATTCAAACAACATTAAAACACAATTAAAACAACATGAACAACATTAACAACATCAAAAATATCAAACAACATTAAAACCACATTAAACAAACATGAAAAAAACATTGGCTACAACCAACACGTTTCTCCATGGCCGCGCCCACCCATAAGGCACCGCTTGCCCCCCCCCCCCCCCCCCCCTGCGCCCCCTGGGCCCCCGCGTGCGCGTGTGTAAAAATCAAAAAAAAAAAAAAAAAAAAAAAAAAAAAAAAAAAAAAAAAAAAAAAAAAAAAAAAAAAAAAAAAAAAACACCCGCGCTGGTGAAATCCTTGCCATTGTGGGCCTGTGCGCGTGATGGCGTTGCCCAGGTTGACCTGGGCAGCGCGGCTGCACTTCGCCCCCCCCCCTTCTCTTCCACGTGGCGGGGGGGGGGGGGGGCGAGAACGTTGATCATGCACGGCGGCCCCAGGGGCATGGGGGGCCCACTGGGCCGCGGGGGGGGGGGGGTGCTGGGCCCAGTGCGTTATTAACGGGGTGCACAGGGGCGCCTCCCCTTCAAAGTCGCTGTCTCCACCCCCCGCCCCTCGTCGCCCTCAAGAGGTTTGTCGTCGTCCTCCTCTGGGTCGTGTTCCTCGTCGTCGTCGTTGCGTTCGTCGTCCTCGTCTGTTTCGTCGTCGTTTTCTCGAGGCCCCTCCTTCCTCCTCGATCCTCGACCCCCCCGTCTGCGTCGTCCTCCTCGTTCTCGCCCTCCTCGTCCCGTGTCCTCGTCCTCTCCCCGTCCTCCTCCTCCTTCCTGCTCTGCTGCCCGTCTGGTCGTCATTTGACGCGCCCTTTTCGCCTGCTGCCACGGCCCTGCCGCGCTGGCCACCGCGCCGCCCGCGAGCGCCAGGGGGCTCGAGCCCAGCCTAGCGTCCCCGAGGCTGGAGGGGGGCGGCAGGGTGTATAGCAGCATCGTTGGTGCATCCTTGGTTCTGCATGCGCCTCAGGCGCCTGGAAGATCTTTGGTCCTCCTCGCGGATCCTCCTCCTCCTCCGACTCTCCCTCCTCCCCCCCCCCCCCCTTCCTCGGATCCTAGGGGGTCGACCCCAAGCGCCCGATGCCCCTCGGACTGGGGCCGACGGCCCGCACTCAACTCTTCTAAGTCTATCCCCTTGGGTGCCGACGATTCCGCGCGCAAACCCCAGTCGAACCCCGGTTGATCGACGTCGCGCGCGCGCACAGTCCGGCGCAGACCCCATTCGACCCCCTGGGAACCGACGCCCCAGCCCCCCCCCCCCCCCTCCTCCTCGATCCTCGATCCTCCTCCTCCTCCTCCTCCTCTCTCCTCTTCCTCCTCCTCATCCTCCTCCTCTTCCTCCTCCTCCTCCTCTCCTATCCGTCTCATCTCCCCCTACTCCTCCTCCCTCCTCTCCTCCTCCTCCTCCTCCTCCTCCTCCTCCTCCTCCCCTTCCCCGCTCATGCCGACCTCCTCCTCCTCCTCCTCCTCCTCCTCCCCTCCTCCTCCTCCTCCTCCTCCTCGTCCCTTCCTCCTCCTCCTCCTCCCCCCTCCTCCTCCTCCTCCTCCTCCTCCTCCTCCTCTCCCTCCTCATCCTCCTCCTCCTCCTCCCCCACCTCCCCCTCCTCCTTAAGGTTCCCCAGGCCCGAGGCCTCGAACTATGAGGGCAGGGTGCATGTATAGCAGCATCGCTGTTGCATCCTGGGTTTGCCTGGTCATCCTCGAGCTCCGATGCATCGGGCTCCAAGCCAGACGCGAGGACGAGGAAGAGGAGGATCGAGGATGATGACGAGGAGGAGGAGGGCAAGTGGGGGGAGGGCGGAGAGGGTCCGATGATATCGGAGATCCTGAGGATCATGAGGAAGGGAAGCATGCTTAGAAGAGGACGTCCAGTACACTAAGGGATGATCGAGGATCGAGGAGGATCCCCGAGGAGGACGACGGGGAGGAGGAGGGAGGCAAGATCATGACCAGGAGGCTGGCGAGGCTGAGGCTGGAGGAGGCTCGAGGAGGACCGAAGAGGAAGCTGAGCAGGAGGGGGGGGGGCGGGAGGAGGAGGAGGAGGAGAATCCAAGAGGAGGAGGAGGGGGAGGCGGAGCTCGAGGCTCATCGACCCTCCTCCTCGATCCCCCTCCTCCACGGGCGCGGTTTTCTCCCTCGGAGTTGAAGTCGGCGTCGGCAGCCGCCCTCGAACGGTCGGGCGCCGCTCACCTGGGCAGCGGGGGGGGGGGGCGATGAGGGCGGAGGGGGGATCGAGGGGGAGGAGGTTCGGAGAACTGCCCCTCCTGCCATGTCATCCCTCTCCTCCTCCGTCTTCCTCTAGCGCTCCTCCCCCACTCCCTCCGCATCCCTCCCTCATTCGTCATCTCTTCTCCCTTCCCCCCTCCTCCTCGACGTCTCCAGCCCCCCTCCATCCCTCCCTCATCCGTCATCCGTTGCTCCCTTCTCCCCCCTTCCCCCCTCCCCCATCCCTAGCTCCATATTCCCCCCCTCGTTCCTCCTATTCCTCATCGTTCCCCCCCGTGCCCCCACTCCGTTCCCCCTATCGCCTGAACTGATGAGCTCGATGAAGCTGCCACCGAACTCGAAGACGCCACCGACCTGGGCAGCAGGATATAAGGAGGAGGGGGAGGAGGAGGGGGGGGAGGGGGAGGAGGAGGAGGCGGAGGAGGAGGAGGAGGAGGAAGAGGAGGACCTCGAGGAGGAGGAGGAGCGGGGAAAGGGTCGAGAAGGAAGAGAAGGGCGACGACGACGACGAGGAAGAACGGGATGACGCGGATCAGGAGGGCGATGAGGACGAGGAAGAGCGAGGACGGGGAAGACAGGGATAGGGGGATGATCTAGAAGTATGGGGAGTATGCGGAACAGGGCGTGGACGAGGAAGTGGAGGATGAGGAGGAAGCGTACCTCGAACAGCATCCCGTCCATCCTAGTATTGCTCCTCCTCCTCCTCCCTTCATCATCATCATCATCATCATCATCGTCGTCGTCGTCATCATCATCATCATCATCATCATCAGTATCATCACCATCATCACCATCATCATCATCATCATCATCATCCTTCCTGGTCCTCCTCCTCCTCCTTCTCCTCCTCGAGGCTCCTCTCCTCCTTCTTCCTCCTCCTCCTGTCCTTGATTCATTCCCCGCTGACCTGCCGATCACACGGGCGCCTGATCCAGCCAGCAGGCGGTGACGACGTCATTGCCCGTCGTCCTCGTCGGCAGCCATGGGGGGGGCACCCTCCCCCCCTCGTCCTCCTCCTGATCTTCCTGTTGCGCCTTCTGTTCTTCGTCCACCTCCTCGCCCTCCCCCCTCCTCCTCATCGTCTTCATCCTCACTTTGTTTCGCGCGGATATCCTGCTCAAGCGGCGGCTGCGCAAATCTCGGCCATCACCTCGGCGCGGATCTGCTCGGCCGCGCCCTTGTTGTCGACCTTGTACTTGACGGCCCGCGTGAACACGCGGTGGATCACGACAGCCCCTGCCTCGGCTGACGACCCCGCCCCGAGAGGCTCCACCAGCGGGAGCGCCATCCTGTCCGTCAGCATCACGAACATGCACCACTTCTTATCGGACTTCCACTGCCACTTGGCCTCCGTGATCTTCTCGTACTCCCTCCGATTCTTCTTCAGCGTCACGAGGTCGCCCAGAACCTCGTAGGAGGCAGTCTCAAGGTGCCAGTTCTCCTTCGGCCACAACTCTGGGTCCACCACCTCGTCGACCTCCTTGGGCCACTCCTCCTCCGCCTCCTCCTGCTTCTCCTGCGTCGCGCCTTCGCCAGCCTCCTCCTGCTTCTCCTCCTCCTCCTCCTCCTCCTCCTCCTCCTCCTCCTCCTCCTCCTCCTCCTTCTCAGCCTCGGGAGCCTCATCCGCGTTCGCCTTGGCCGCGGGCATCTTGAGCGCCGTCTTGCTCGTTCCCTTGTCCTTGCCCTTGCCCGCAGCCGCTGGCCTCTTGAGCGCCGTCTCGACGACCTTGTCCTTGCCCTTGCCCTTGCCCGTCGGCGTCGGCGAGCCCGCACTCTTGCTCTTGCCTTTGCCCGTCGGCGTCGGCGAACCCGCACTCTTGCTCTTGCCCTTGCCACCCGTCGGCGTCGGCGTGTCCGCACTCTGGCTCTTGCCCTTGCCACCCTTCGGCGAGGCCGCACTCTTGTTCTTGCCCTTGCCGCTCGGCGAGACCGCGCTCTTTCTCTTGCCGCTTGGCGAGGCCGCACTCTTGCTCTTGCCCGTCGGCGAGGCCGCACTCTTGCTCTTGCTCGCGTCGGCCGCACTCTTGCTCTTGCCCTTGCCCGTGCTCGGCCAGCGCATGACATGCGCGCCGCCCTCCTGCTGCTCAGTCGACCTCATCCGCGCGTTCGTGCCTGTCGTCTAGTGTTTTTTTTGTCCGTCGTCATGCTGCGTGTCCTACTGCGGATGTTCGCGAGGCTCCTATAGAACGGGAAATCGCGCCAGCGCGGGCGCCGACGGGCTGCGCCCTCGTCATCGCCCTCGTGATTGACCTCTGGGTTCCCCCCCTTCCGCCCCCTCTTCCTCGCCCTTTGCTTCCGGCTGGGTCGGGGGCGCATCGCCATCCTCATCGCCGATATCCGCCTTGGTGCGCTCTCCTTCGTCATCGCATTCTGCAGGCGCCATCGTTCCCGAACTCTCGTCGAGAACGTGCCCCGATCCCGATGCCTGCTCATCCTCAATCGGCTCGAAGTCGTCGCCAGCGTCTGAGCGAGCCTCGATGAGGAGGAGGAGGGGGACGCAAAGACGACCGACCAGGAAGGACAGGCACAGGAGAAGGAATCGGGGGGGACGAGGCAGGGGAAGACGAGGGCGAGGAGGAGGAGGAGGGTGAGGGAGGTAGAGGAGGACCGAACAGGAATGGGGGGAAGGAGCATGAAAAGGCGGAGGATGGGAAGGAGGAGGACGAGCGAGGAGGAAGGAGAAGGAGGAGGAGATGGAGGAGGGGGGATGAGGGAGAGAGGAGGAGAAAGAGGAAGAGGAGGAGGAGGAGGAGGAGGAGGAGGAGGCTGGGCTGAGGCGTTCGGCCCCCTCCTCATTCTTCCCGTCTTCCCTTCGTCCTTCCTGTCATCCTCGAGCCCTTGTCGTCTCCCACTCCTTCTCCTCCTTCGCCTCCGTCCCTTCCCAGGTCCCAGGCCCCCCCAGAGCAAGCTGCGCCTTGCTCAAGTGCGCGACGATGGTCTCCTCGTCGCACTCCCCCTCGGTCTCGCTGCACGATGCCTCGATCATCTGGGAGCCCTGCGCCCGTGAAAGGGAGGGGGGGGGGG